GCTATTTACAGAGTTTTGAACCTGCTGTCCAAAAAAACAAAAAAAAAACCTGCAATTTGCGACGTTTTCAACAACATGGTCGCCAAAAACACTGCTATTCGCGAGTTTTTCATTTTCGCGCAAAGAACTCAAGCTTCGGCAGCAATGCACAATAACACTGCAAAAAAAAAAACAATGTTTCTGCCCAACAAAAACGGCGAAAACCGTCACCCAAACAGGTCCGAAATCACAAAATCTGCCCCCCCGGCCTCCCGACAAGACCAAAATTGTGGAAAAACATATGCGTCTCAGAACCGAAAATCGAAGACCAAAAGTCAAAGAACACATGTTTGCTTGTTTCACTTTTCTCTTGCCGGCTGTAAAACACTGTGTTTTTTGAAGTCCGCCGTCGCGACCTATCAAAAACCCATTGTTTTCACTAAAAAATCCCCCCCCCCAGGTAAAACTGTACCTTACAGATCTTGCAGCTGTTTATGCCATCCGGATGATCACACCCTGAGCACCTTCGGTGCGGGCGGATTTTACACTCTTATTCTCCTCCCGCTGTCCTACCTGTCGCATATCCCTTTTCTCAAGTTACTGCATATGATTTATGTGTTTCGGCATGTTTTTGGGTGGCTGGGTGGGTTTGTTGCAAGGGGGTTGTGATTTCAATGGTTTATGTTGCAACCCTTTTTGACTGGGAATGAAGGTTGCAATTGACAAACGTGTTTGGGGAGAAACCAAGCAGAGCACCAAGTCGAGAGCATTTTCTCACATAAATTATCATTGACAGGAAAGATCAATTGGAGTGTTGGCCATTTTCCGTTGTGAGTCGCTGTGGTCTTCATTGGGTTGTCCCACTCTTTTGTGCTTGGTGCGTCAAGTCCAACTCGAGGGGTTTCTTCTCCGGGCAAATACCATTTCGCTCTGCAATGAGAAATGGCGCCACAAGTGGGACTTAGAGGCATGAATTCTTTGCCTATCTGTACTGTACACCCGTGGTAGGCAATCCCTGCTGGTCGGGAAGCATGTAACATCATGTAACCCAAGGACTGCAGCAGGCCTAAATTCGCCATGTTTGGCAACTTCTCCACCACAAGTTGATATTTAATTACAATTGGGAACGAACGGACGCTCAATGAACAAGCATGAATTCGGCATCATTCAGATATGTTCAACCCAGTGTTCAACCCTGGACCCTTTTCCTCGAAAAAACCAACCCAGCAGATCGACTTTCTTCCCCTTTCTTCCACCCAACATCCAGCTCGACCGCCCCCATGTGTTGGTTCCGGCTACGCTCACCTCGCGCGCCGAGGTGGATCGCTACCCCTCCAAGGCGTCGAAGAGCTCCATGTCCGAGCTGCATCGGGCCATCGACTGCTTCAGTTCCTTCAGGTCAGGCTGCGACCCGTCGGGGCGGAGACCGGAAGATCTGGGTCTCCCGAGTCGCGGTGAGGAACCCGTCGGGTTCACAGGAGGTTCTTGGGGCCGAGGTGGTCAGGCAAAAGAAATGGCGAACTGGGGGGATGTAGAGTCATAGTCCCGGTGCAAAAGATGACGGCGTCGGTCAGAACGATCAGGATAGCGCTCGAGACGAACCAGAAGCACAGCCTCCGTCTTCTCGATTTGGAGATGGACAAGTTGAAGAAGCTGCTGCCACAGGAGCCTTCATGAACTGGTTTGCCCATGTTCTCGCGTCGATCCCCGTCACCACTTTATTTTCAGCACAACTATAGAGTCTAGAGGGAACTAGGGTTTCTAATTGGTTTCGTCTCGGTCTAAGGCTTTGGTCTTTGGAGCCACTGGTTAAGTGCAGCAACCAAAATTGGATCTACAAGGTTTTTTAGGGGGTTTGGGTTGAATTCACCCTAACTGTTCTGAGCGCAACAACCCTTGTTTTGTTCGGCTAGGCCTGCGGTTTGTCGGCATCTACAGATGGATGATTCACACAGCCATACAGAGTACATAGACCCCCCAAATAGCTATAGAATAGTATATAGATATCCTACTAACAATGTTTTGCCGCTATCTATTTAGGGGACCACTAGTTGTTGGCGTGTTGAAGTTTGATCTTGGGCGTGTCCCATTACCTGGAACAGTCGGCAAACAATTTTATCACTATTTTAGAGAAATGCATTGACTAACCATCATCATCCACTGTTGCAGGGAATGCCCGAAATATGTGTACTGTATATATGCATTATATTTATATACATACATGTCTGTAGATGGTAAAATATTGTGAATATTGTTTGGATCAACACTGGGCTCCTTCAAGTTGTTGATCAAACCATGACCCTAGCCTTCAAAAACCATTAGAAGAACGGTTGAGCTGGTGGTGTAACCGTTGAGCTGGTAGTGTAGTGCAAAACCCTTAGAAATTAATATGGTTCTTTGGTAAAACCCGACCATTAAACAATGGTTATTTGAATCCTAGGGATGATATACCCAAGTTTGATCAACTGATCGACAATGGGCTCTGTGGTTCGACGCTGATCGACATTGGGCTCCGATGTTCGATCAGGACCCGTCCCGAGCTTACAAAGAAAGACTCTTGAAGCCAGGCTGGGCGTTCTGTTTTCTCTTTGCCTTCAGGTGGATCTATGGGAATCGGCAGAATTTCGATGCGAGTTGGACACCCTGCGGCTTTCAAAAGTCGGGAAATATGGAATGTGCTAAGACCCGTCCAGTCCCGAGGTACAGGCTGACCAGAGAGACACGGTGAAGCGGATACTGATCATACTGGGCGCGCTGATGGTCCCGGTGATGGCCCTTCCGGGGTTCACGAACTCAACAGATGCGCAACAGAACCAAAGGCTGGTCTTGTAAGATGCACTGCTGGTCTAATGAGCTGGCCTTTGCTCCCATGTGTTGGTGGGATGGTAACGTGAATGGGAAAACCATCCCAGAATTCATGACAACCCGCAAGCGGACGGTGTCTTCCACAACTGCTCTTCGTTGCGTCCGCTGGGTCCACGATCCTCGAAATTCCCGTTTTACGAAATGCGCGCTGTGAAATTCAGCGCTGTCCAGCGTCGAAGTCCGAAAACTCCTCTCACCCCGGTGGAAGTCGTTGTTCAGCTCCAAGAAAGGTTGAGAGACCATATATAGGACACTGTAGTGGTACATATGGGATGCGCTCTAGGGCTGTTCAACCTCTCTTGCTTTGTCAGGCGAAGCCATGCCCCGAACCTCAAGAACGTTGAGAGCTTCGGGCGTCGGTTCTCCCTCCAGTCCTCGCACGAGCAGTGCCGCCCTGCCGCTTCCAGCAGCGGTGCCTGGTGGTCATTGTTCGTTCGGGACGGAGCGATCGAAAACAGGATGACAGAATGGCTCCAGATGCAGTATCATGTCACCAGTAGGTTTGAGAGGAGGCTTTTCTACCTCACTACCTCATCATAACTGGTTCAATTCCCAAGTGGTGGTACCCTGAGACTCACTAACATGGTCGCAGCCGCTTTCGCGCGGGGTGCGAAAGACACGGCTGCTTCCTGGCAATTTGGTTTTGACATGTTGTTGTAGCTTCTTTTCTTGCTATACTCTTTGTGCTTCCTGGATGGGTGGCGCGGAAAGCCCACCTATCGCCAGACTCGACTGCTGGCATGAGTGACAAAAATGGACCCTTGGATGACTAGTTTCCTCTACGAACACGGTAGTTTCCGCTTCCATGTTAGTGAGTCGGAGTGCATACAAGTCGGTTGCCCAAGGGTTTTTCTAAAATGTGTTTTGATGTTTTTGGGATTTGAGCCGGGTTTGAGCGGGGATGCCGTCTTCGAGCTGTGGGAAGTCACGCCAGCAGTTGTACAGTATCAAGCAGTTCTTGTTTGTTTCTTGGTGGTGGCTAGTAGCTATAGTTGCCTTTTCTTTGGTGAGAATGGGAACAAGTTGAACATATATGATTTGGTTGAACTGATGAGGTAGCAACAATTTTGGCAGTAGAGAATTGTTGGAGGTGTTTGAGGTTCTCTATTGGTTGCTTCAGGGTTGCATGCTGTTCGATGGTGTAAGCTCAGATCTGGGACTGCTTGAGATCTAGGATGTCTCAGGCACCCAAAGAAGAGGGACTAGCTGGCGGGTCCTTCACCTGAGGTGAACCTGTGAACCTCCTTTGAGATTTTGTAGCAGTTCTTTCACATAATGCATGTCTCTTGTTGTTTTGGAAGGCTTAGAATATAATCCCTGTGCACTTCCATTTTGGAATTTCAGAGCCATAGCAGTTTTGTTGCCTTCGTCGCCTTCACCACTTGGCCATCTTCTGGTGACCAACCCTGGGTGTGGGTGACCGTCCACAAAGAGATTGGCGAACGTCTCGTGGCTATCGTACAGCCATATATATAGTCCATATAATGTATATCAAATATTGTAGGTGTTCGTTTTGTAATGTTTTGTTTTGTGTATTGTTTTGTCTTGGGGGTCTGCAGGGTTGAACTGCTGGTGCAAAACTGTGTCCGCAGTGGAAGTTATCCGTGGAGTTTCTCACCAAAGAAGCTTAGCTTCAAAACACGACCACCACCAAAAAGGAGAATGGTTCGCGGCACTGCCTTGCAAAACTTCACCAAAACAAAAGGTTTGAACCTCGCATGTTAAATTGATGGTGTCAATCAACCTCTTAACCCAGCCTCTTGGGAAGTGTGCGCAGGCCGGTTGGATGCTCTCGGTCGGAGTCGTGCTCAAAAGGCCCCCCCCCAGGGCATAACCTCGAGATCTCTTCAAAGAGATTCATCGATAACACCTGATAAATCTCTTATCACATCCTAGAAGTTGTTTCCGAGTTGTCAAGGAGGCTTGGGAGAGCTGACCACTTCTCGCTACCCTAGATCATTAGAGCTCTTAGAGCTGCGTTCACCTCCCAACCCGTTCATTCCCCTCCCAACCTCGCCTTTTCCACTGCCTGATCCCAGGCAGTGGAAGCCGGCCGCCACTTCGTGGACTCGCCCCCGGTGTCGCCGGTGTCGCCCGCCTCGCCGTCCGGGTCGCCGGCGCTGGCGGCGCCCAAGCTGCCACAGCGGCAGCGGCGAATGTCTTGGATCACCAAGCAGGCGCCTTCGACGAGGGATGACGCTGCTGAGGTGATGGTTTCTCATTCAATCCTTCTTGTTTGGAATGGTCAGATAGTCGAAAGTTTCAGACTAGAGTTGGTTCAGCCAGGGGTTCGTGGCTCGGGTTTGCAGATGCTTGCAGTCAATGTCAACACCGGATTAGTCAACCCGGGCCCCCCCCTTCAAGGTCAACAAGGTCAACAAGGTCTGAGATTGGAGGTAGTGGAGAACCACATCCCTGTAATAAAGAGTAATAAAGATGATGACCTGATGATGGATGATGAGATGAGATGACCTGGACCTGATGATGGACGATGGTTGATGGGATTCTGTGTCATGAGAGATTGAACCATGAGAGCCATGAGGGCTCTGAGTGTATTGGCACAAGTTTGATAAGATATCAGATAGGATTGATCAGAGAGCGATGTCAATGGGTGATACTCTCTTTGATAGGGAAGAATTGGACAAGGAAGAGGATTGCAGGATGAAAGCATTGCAATACAAGAATGAGGCCAGAGGGTGGGATTGATTAATAGGGGGAGGGGGTCCGACTATTGGGGGTAGGGCCTGCGTGAGGTGCCCTTTGTGAGCTTGAACAAGTTAAGATTTTGATAGAGTTGTCACAAGGGAAAATGAAAGACTTTTGCTAGAGAGTTTTGGGGTTTGGGGGGGTGGTTGGTAGCATGAGCCTTGAGGAGAAGCCATCAAAAGGATTGGTGAGCAGGTTGAGGCAGTTGAGAGGTGGTGGTGAGAATCAGGAAGATGAGGAGATGAAGATTTCGAACACTAGCAAAAATAAACATAGATAATTATAAATACAACAGTAAACTATGTTTTTTTCTGGGGCAGCTGGGATTGATTAATAGGGAGGCTTCTGCTCAGGAAAGCATTATTAGGGTGATGCCAGGGTGAAAATCTAGGTTTTAAATTAGTTTAGTATTGGGGGGGCCGAGCAGGGATTGATCAATAGGGGGTGGTTACTTAACCCTATGTCAACATTAGTTGCTGTCTGTGGTTTGCATGTGACGGCTTGGTTGCTCGATGCCACATGCCTGAATGAGTGCCGCAAGTTCAACTTGCCGCAAAAAAATCGCCAACCAAGAATGTTTGGACTACATTTAGAGACTTGACACCTGCAACAAAACTGTTCAATCCCAAAACCGTTCAAGTCAGGAACCAATATTGGACAGTCAGGACCCTCAAGTGTAGCTGAAATCGGGTTCACCAGGGGCAGGCGAAGCAGGTGCTGGCGACGTCAACCATCTCATCCACAGTTCTCAAGGACAATCAGGAGTAATATGGTGGATTCTCATTCAAGTCTAATAAGTAGATTCGTCAAGCAGTGTGCTAAACACGCACGTAGTATTCGAGCCTTTTCAAGGCTGATAGCATCATTCTCACTAGAAGGACACCGGGGATTGGTGGATTGTTTAAATGATGCTCCCAAGCTGTTTCCAAACTCCTGTGGTTCTTTCGTGGTGTTCTTCTTTACACAGGGCCCAACGGGGGCTTGCCGGCCTGCCATGCCCCCCTTGGGGTGGAATCGCTGTCCTCCCTCCTCCCAGGGCACTGGATTCTTGGACGCGAAAGCACTGCAAGAGCTCACCGCTGAGCACAACCTCTCCTCCGAGGAGTCTTCACCCTCCGGTGACAACCGAGGCACCACTTACAGCCACCTGGCTGCTTTGCGAGTCGAAGACAAGCTGGCCCCGAGGTGGGTTTTTTCGTTCCCAAAAGCGGAGGCCGGGTATGGCCCGGTGGAACCCGGAAACAGGTGTGAGTGTGTTGTACTTGTTCACCCTAAATATAATAATATTGCAGATGCATAGAGTGCAAGATAGTATGCATATAAACATGTGCGATAATATATATATATATTGTTCATAATTGCTCTTGTATATAGTAGCTCTCGTTGTAGACGTGGTTGGCAAACAAGGTCCAAGCACACGAAAGGATCGCACGTTTTGTCGCGAGCGAAATGTCTGGGGCGTTTCCGTCAAGACTCAAGGGCCCTTATGGCGAATGGATATGGAAAATGGGTGCATGTGACAACTGGCATCAAGACAGGGGGAGAGTGATCTCAATCCGCTTCCTGCCATTTGGTCTACATTGGAAAACATTCAAAAATTTCATCCGTAGCCATGACTCTCATTCATCTTCCTTTTTCATCGAGCTTCCTATCGAGCTCCTCGGGCCCTTTCATTCACGTTCTGCTTTCATAGCAGCTCACGAATCTCCAAGCTCCATCCATCATGGGCGGCGACATCTCGCTTGTTCTGTGGTCGTAGCTCAGGCGGGTTTGCTGCTGTCGATCTACCCGAAGACCTTCCTGGAAACGATTCCTTTCAGCTTGATGAGGGTCACTAGAACTTGAAGAACGAAAACCCTCTTGCCGTGCTTCTCGGAGTTCCTTTTCTTTTCTTCGGGCTTCAAGGTGCAGCTCCATCAAAAGGTTGAAGTGAGCGTTCAGGAATCGGTGCCATTGCTTGATCTCTTCGTCGGAAGTGGTGGCACAACTCGCCAGCAAATTGAGTTTGAGGTACTCCTCTCGCCTCACAGCAGGCAGCACATGCTGCAGGACGTGTCCCCTCATCTGAGCAGACACTTCAGGTGTCCAGAGGACCTCATTCGTCCATCTCCATTTTGCTTGTCCAGGTTCCATGCGAACCTCTTCATAGAGTGCCATCCATCGATCAGATGTTCTTTGATCCAACTCCGGTCCGTCATCTCGCTCCTCCACAATGTCCATGGGCTCAGCTTCCGCATCCAAGCCGCCATGGCGCGTTTCGGCAGCATTCACCTCCAAATTCCTTAAGTCGACATGGCTCGTTTTACCGCCGGGATGTCCTCATATTCAATGACTCCCTCATTGGCAAACATGAGGCACCATCGCTTCACATGCTGGAGGAACACATAGATCATGTCCTTGACCAACCATGAAGAAACACACATCCCCAACATGGCGAACAGAAAAATGACCAATGCCGTGTTTGTGAGAGGTCTATCATCAGGGTCACCCTCTTCTTTGGCTTCTGCCGTCACAAACTCGGAAGCCAGGAGTGCCACCGCGCACTTAGCCGCTTTCTGCCACTCGTCACCACCATGTCCTTGTCGGAACCTGTGAAGGTAGAAGTGTCGACGGCTGCAGTACCGGTTCGCTTCTGAACTGGCATCTCGCTGTTTCGAACATCCTGGTAGTGCACATACTCCTTGTTCTTTCACCTCTGCTTTGTCCACGAAACATATCGGGCCATCGAACAGCTCTTCTGCAGCTTTCTCGTACTCCAGATTCTCCTTCATGCGTGACTCATGGCTCACCTTCTTGGCCGCGACGAAGTTGGGGTCGTACTTCAAAGCATGCACTCCTCTGGACAGCGTGTGTGCCAATGCATCTTTTGCTGATGGTTTGGTGAGTCCATCAGCCACTTGCTGCATTGAATTGACCCATCGAAACTTTCCAAGGGCAGCTTGCATTCTCTCCTTCAAGATGCAAATTTCTATTGCCGTGCGGCGCTCCGATAGCTTCAATCCAGGAGTCACTGAACCAGCACTGTCATAGAGAGCCTTCGCATCGGTGATCACTGGGGAGTCTTTGAACATGTGCATCGTCTCATCGAGCTGAATCGCTACATAGGGGTTCACCATCGAGGCAAAGAACACTTTTGCCCACTCCAGCTCGTCTACTGCGATGGTCGCAGACTGGGCCTCAGCCGATAGAGAACTTCGGCACATTCTCACCAATTTCTTGCTTGCCCAATCCACCACCGTCAATGGGAAAGGCGTTTCGCCGGAGATCTCGCTGTCATTGGCAAGGAACATCAACATGCCTCCCTGTGAGCTTCCGTCGGGGCGGACTGACCAAGCGGCATCACAGTAAACGCCCAGCCGAAGATCCTCGATCTCTCCATGGCAGCGAATCGTGAACACGTAGTCCTTGACTACCTCCTTCATGAAGCGAAGACATTTGTTAGCTTCCAACATGTCCTTGACCATGGGGCGATTGATGTTCGCTTGGAGGATGCTGATCGTAGCTGCCGCCTGTGGAAGGCACTGAGTAACTGGCCAAGACATAGCACCCACAAGTGCTCGTAGAAGCCGGTGTTCTTTCTCATTGCAGTAGTCGTCGTGCATCACCTTTCGGCTCTTCTCCATACTCAGGGGCTTGATCTTGTTGACGTACTCCTTCAGTGAGACTGTCAAAACCTCAAAGTCCGGAGATTGCTTCAACTCAGCACCGCAGAACCTCATCTTTTCACCAAAGTCCCAAGATCCAAACCTGAATCTCTTTGACAAGTGATGTACTCGATGTTGAAAGGTCTCGCATGCTCCGGCAGCATCCCACTGAATGTCCTTGAGGCTCTGGACCCATTCTCCTGCACCGAGGAAATCGTCAACATGTAGTCCCAACGCTCCATCCACTGTCCACTGTCCACCATTCTTCTCAAACGTCAGGAATGGCTGATCATCCTGTCCTGCTGGTCGGAGGGACAGGTAGAGACATCTGTCAAGTGGATGGTTGATCAACCCGAGCTCGTTTACCAAAAAATCGTTGGCAGTTTCATTCCACTGACGAGGGGCACGAACGTCACCAAAAGCAGGTTTGGTTGCCTTCAGAATCTCATCACTTCGCAACCCCATCAATCTCTCCAGCCTTCTTCGCATCTCAGCAGGGGGCTTTACGTAGATCCTCGTCGTCTCGTCGATGGAGTCCGATTGCATGAAGGCCGACTTGACGTCTGCACACCAGACCTTCCACCTCCGATGGACTGCCCACACCATGAGCGTGATGCGTCCGAGACGACTCAGGGTTGGCGACTCCTTGACCAGGTTCTCCGTCAGCACATCCTTGTGACGAAAACCCTGCAAGATCACTCGGGCGTTCGCCTTCTTCCCCTCTGCCGTAGGCTTCCAGCGCTGCAGGAACCTGGCGGGAACTACCTCACCCTCTTTGGCCTCGCTTTCAGGCACTGCTTTCCAAGCTGCGTTCTCGATCCAGACCATGAGTGCAGCATCTTTGGCTTCATCGAAAGCTTTGCGTTCTTCCGGCGTGAGGTACTTCTCGTTGAAGCTCTCCGCCATGAGCAACTCATCCTCCTCCAGCGGTTCCTGCGCATCCATGTACCTCTGGAAAACAGGATCATCACCTTGTACAGGGGGAAGTCCGTCAAGCTGTCGAGAGGCATTGTACGAACTCAGTGCAACTGCTCTTTCGTCTCGATTCGGCGGACTTCGAGATCTTCCTCGAGGTGGCTCGAGTGGCCTCTCTCCCTGCTCCTCCGTCATCTTCTCAACCTTTGCCGGTCTTCCGCCATCATGACTCGTGGCTTCTCTCTTCTGGCCGGCTGACATCTTTTCGTCTGGTTGGGTTTGTGCGGTAGCTTCTGCCGCGGCGTGTGGTTCGTGTGCGTGCTGGAGCTGTGGTTCTTGTGGCTGCAGCTGCTGTGTTTCTGCTGTGGCTGTACCAGACTCTTCTCTTCCTTGCTCTATGCATTCCTTTTCAATCGACTCTTCTTGCTCACCAGGTTCGGGTTCACCGTCTTCTGGAGGGATGGGATCATCTCCTGTTGCCTGAGGTTCGCCTGATGCGTCAGCTAAAGGTGGGTCCCCCAGGAGGTCAAGAAATCGTATAGGTCCCCGAACCGGCTTCAGAGCATCTCGGACTGTCTGTTGCACCGAGGAAACGCGAGCAGTAGAGGGAAAGCTCTGGAGGCGAGCTTGATGCTCACGAGGGGCCTCTGCACGGATATGCTCGGGTGCCACACGAACAAGCGCTGAGCCATGAGCCAGCCAATAGACCGAAGGGGCATGGCCAGCGTCAGGACAGTCACGAGGAGTCATGGAGCACACTAAAGCGGGTCCTCGCCATCGGCTCACGTCCAGTTTGCTATCCGCTGATCTCCAATAGTAGACCCAATCACCAGGGTAAAAGACTTGGTTTTCAGAGCGGCTCTTGCTCAACAATGCTTTCCTCAGTGTCTGGCTGTGATTGGCACTATAAAAAGCTTTGGCAGCGTCCAATCTCAAAGATGCTAACTTCTGGTACTCCGCGGTGGGCTCTGCCTGTTGAGCTAATGGCTCGTCCATCAGTCCTTTTTGTGATGATGTCTTGCCATAGACGATCTGGGCTGGTGATGAACCGTGAACGGATCTCAGATGATTTCGTGCGTTGCATGCCACTGGAACTGCTACCTCTAACTGCAGCTTCTCATTCTCCTGCTTCATCTTCAAGAGTTGTAATCGTCTCACGGCATGCAACCTCTCGACTGTGCCCATTCGATGATGAGCCTCCTTAGGCACCAACACCAACTTGATTCCTCGATCATCCATGTACTGGAGGAACTGCTCTGACATGTGGGCTCCTGATGCATCTGTTCGAATCTGCTTGGGGCATCCGAACGCGTTGATCCACTGATCGAGAACTGCCAGTTCTTCCTTCTCCGTCTCTGATTGCACCACCACGTTCATCTCATAGCGAGAAAACAGGTCAATGACCGCCAGAATGCGCTTCTTTTCTTCATTCCACTTGATGTGGAAGATGTCCATCTCCAACATCTCATTGAAGAAGCTTGTCTGAGGAAGGGAAGCTGGCTTGGGCATCTTCTTGTCTCTAAAGTTTTGGCACGTGTCACACTTGTACACCTTTGCACATCTCACCAATGCCTCGTCAAGTCCAGCTTCTCGAACGGCAGCAACCAGTCTGTCTCGTCCTGGATGACCCAATTGGCGATGTAGCTTGTCAATCACCATCATTGCCTTCTTGTTGTGTGTTTTGACCATTTCATCATCCGGACCAATGTCCTCATCCTCCATCTTCTTGTCAGTCTCCTCGGCCACCATCACGTCCATAGCCATGATCTTGGCTATTTCCTTCTTCCTCCAAGATTCTTCCATGGTTGCATAGATAGCCTCCGCAGCTCTCTCCACGAAGCCATGCTCATAGTTTTGCATTTCTCGCAGTTCCTTGGACTTTCCGTCCATAGGCACGTGACGGCCTTCGCATTGACATGCAAGATTCAATGCCTCTGCCACCTTCCTGGAGCTGGTCCTGATACGAGTTTGTTTCCGTACTGGTCCACAGCAATGACCATCGTCAAACCATAGTCCAGTCCTGCATCTGTTGCAAACTGCCTCGAAGTAGCCCTTCATGGATTCCATTGTCTTCGTCTTCCAGGAATCAGCTCCATGAGGGTGCTCACATGCGTAGTTGTTCTCGTCCTCCTTTGTGATCTTTGCCACTTCACTCACCAAGGATAGGTGTGACTCTTCTTCACTCCTTCTTTCCTTCATCAACTTCTTTCTTTGGGCTTCTGTTCGTAGATTCAACCTCTGGATGGATGACCACTTCCTGCATGGCGGTGCGATCCACACGAAGTCGGGGCTAACCTCACGTAGCAGGTCGGCAAACTCCGCTCTCACTCCTTTGTCCAAGAAGTTCCACTCAGGCAGCGAGAATCCTGACACTTCAACATCCTCATATCTCCGAGCTAAGTGCACCGACAAATTCCCCTGGTCTACATAGACTTCGAAGAACTTGAGAATCCTCTTTTCCTTCAGTCGGCGAACAGTCTCGGCAGCAATGCTCTCGGCCTCAAACACTTCTTGGCAGAACTCCTCAGTCGCACCGTTTTCCTCCATGGTCGGCTCAATGTCCCAAATGCCGAGAGGTCCTTCATCAATCAGGGCAACCTCATCCATTTGGACACATTCATCCAAATCCAGCACTTCCTCGAACTGATAGTAGGTCTCCTCCTTCGCGTTGTTGCTTCGATACATCATCAAGTCCAGCAAGAAATGTCCACGGCCATTTCTCTCAGGTTGGAACCAATCTGAACTTCCGATCTTCATCAAGCCATTCTTGTAGTCGTGGATGACTCCCCATTCCTCCAACGTGGGCCTGGCAAGAAGGAAGGGTGTTGCACCTGGCACCACAGAAGCTGTGATGTCCAACATCTGTCCATGCACGACCGCCGTGAAGTCAACCTCATAGTTGGATGTCAGTGTCTCGCCTCCTCCAAACTTGAACTGTCTCTGTATCTGGCGAGACACAATCGGCTTCGTTCCTTTGGTTCCGTACTTCTCAAGCCACTGGTGCCAATTGTTCTCTCCTACTATCGTTCTCGTGGCTCCACTGTCCACAATGGCTTTACCCACTTCGGTCACCGTGAAGAAGCACTGCTCCATCTCCTGGTCCATGACCTCTGATCCAATCACCTCAGCCATTGTGTCACACTCTTCAACCATGGTGACTTCCTCAGGCACTTCCTTCACTCCCTGATTTTGGCTTCTATATCGTTTGAACCGGGGTCCATGTTGGGCAGTGGATCCCGAGAAGGTGGACTTCTCACTTGATGCCGTCGTTGATGCTGATGACACAGGTCCTTTTCGAAGTCCGGACATCGGGCATCGATTGAAGGGGGTTCGTCTCATGAATCCTCCGCCTTTGCTCTTCCCCTTTCCTTTTCCTTTGTTGTATGGGCTCGATTTTCCTTTTCCTTTGCTCTTTCCTTCACCTTTGGAATTTCGAAAAGCTCCCTTCTCCGCTTCCGGACCAAGCGCCACGATGGGGTAAAAGCCTCTGGAAAGCGCCAACTCCTTCATGCGTTTCCGGCTCTCGATGTAGGACACGTATGCCTCATCTGCTTGATCCATTGCATCCTCCAATTCCTCCGGGACGTCGTCCTCGTCCTCTTCAGCCTCGAAGACTTCATCTTCATACCATTCGTCCCAATCATCTTCTTCATACCAAATCTCCTCTTCATCCTCATAGTAGTTCTCCTCCTTGACACTAGAGGGATTGGCGCGGCCGAGGTCCCGTGCATTCGGACGATGATCTCCTCCGAACATTCGGACAAGCGCCTTGCTCACCTTATCGTAGTCCAGATCTCCACCACACATTGCCTTCAACTGCACATGGGTCCAGCGTGGTACTCCTGCTCGGGTGAGTAGATGCCAACCGGACAGGAGTGGTGGCACTTCGACATTCACCTCCTTCATACGCTTCAGCAAGGTCTTGTGGCGAATGAGGTACGCCTGGAGCTCTTCTCCTTTGTTCCTTTGGAAGTCGCTGAAGAACTCATCGCACCTCGAAGGGACTTCAATCAAGTCTTCATACTGGTACAAATCGTCGAGGAGGCGGAATACCAACTTGAATGGGGCATCCGATCGTTCCACCTCGTCAAAGCTCAACTGCTCTGTCGCATCCCATGCCACATCCTTCAACTTGCTAATCACAAGGAATGCTCCCTCAATGGAAGTCTCACGTCCTCTCCGATCACATTGTCGCTGGAACAACTCCAACCTCCTTCTATAACTCCTGTAGGTCTTCTGCGTCAAACCATCTGAGGTTGGACAGGCTTTCGCAAGGCCTGAATCTAGTCCTCCACGTTGATGTGGGGTGTAGGGCATCTGGATGGGGCCGTCTGTCTCCCGCTCGACATTGGTGAACAAACCACCGCCACCTGTAGATGGCACGGCACCGGCAGCACCTGGAGCTGAGGTTCGCGCCCTGCGAACAGGCGTCCTCCGAGGACTTCCGCGGTCCATCCCGGACATAGGGCAAAGAACTTATCTTTCACCGTCAGGAGGATCACTTGGGCAACTCCAAGGAAGAAGGGCACCGAACTCAAACTCTACCTGGAGCGTGTAGAGCTCCGCTACCAATCTCGTTGTAGACGTGGTTGGCAAACAAGGTCCAAGCACACGAAAGGATCGCACGTTTTGTCGCGAGCGAAATGTCTGGGGCGTTTCCGTCAAGACTCAAGGGCCCTTATGGCGAATGGATATGGAAAATGGGTGCATGTGACAACTGGCATCAAGAGTAGCATGTTTGATACTAGGCAAACATTGGACCCACAATCCTTTGGCTTGGATTTGGAACCATATCCGTCATAGCGAAGTTGACTTTATATAATGACTTCAAATCCTCGATGCAGCCAACAGGGATCAAATTTGAACACCGCTTTTACCAGGTTGAAAACCCGACTTCGAAACAAAATAACTTCTCTAATTTGCACTTTTCCTACGTTGTCCAGTTCCTGTACTGATGGACATGAGGGGCACCTACGGGTGCAGCATTTATATCTTGAGTGCTTTTTTCTCACCCCCGTACCTATGGCACGCAAGAAGAAGAAGAAGAAGGTTGATTCATGTTTTTGGCCTCATTGACTGCCCAAAGCACCTAAAGTAAGTTGACTTCCCGAGCCCTCCTGACCTGGATATCGTGTCCATTGCAGCGTGTCGTTGGCGATCCATCTCCCTGTTTCGAGAAATAGAGATTCACAGAAGTTCCACATCCGATTCTATTCTTTCACCAAGTCGAAAATCAGTCTGATTGTTTTTCCCTTATACGTCTCTTGATCTCATTGACTATATATTGCAACATGTTTATTTCCATGACATCCCGTCGATAGTACTACTGTATATATATATGCCAATATATGGCCCATATAATCTACTGTGTCACACTTTTTCTTTTTGGCTCAGCAGATTTGCCGTTATTTCTTTAGGGGGCACGCCCGCGTCGCATCGGCTCTCATCTGAGGTAGTGAGGCCACGGGCAGGAGCAAAGCCAAAGTCAAGTCCGACGCGAAGAAGAACAGCACCAGTGGCATGCGCCTGGAAAGCAACAATGGCTTGGGAACTAGCTCCAGTGGCAGCCCTTGGGGTGCGTCATGGTGCGTCTCCAGTCTCGTGAGTGGATGTGACGGTAGCTTTTCCTTGGGGCCACTGATCGGACCTTGTCACACGGTGTTCTCCAGATGCTGGGGTGGAGTGGCTGCAGTGCTTTTTGGGCGAAGAGGTCCACCAAGGTGAGTCGGTCCAACTGGGAGAAGAGCAGTAGATCTTTGGTTTGACACTCGACATTCCCTACTAGGGATCCAGTCGTACCTTCTCAGTAGGTACTTGGACCCTCCAAACCTGCATAACAGTGTCTCCAATCCCTATAGGAGATTGAGCCCAACCTCTCACACACACGACTTACCACGACTTTGGACGGAACAATTTGGGCCCCAAAACCACCGCACTGACCAGCACCACCAGCACCACCGGCGACCCAACCGAACACCACCGGAAACTCCGTCATGTTCGTCACCGCAGGCTCGCGCGCTTGGACCCCGACCTCGCCAAAGATGCCATCAGGGATCGGGCGGCCGCAGAGTTCGGGAAGAAGCGCGTGGAGATCATGAAGACGGAGGGTCGGCTGCTTGGACTGCCTAATGATTCTCCGCTGAAGGGCAAACTGCTGGTGCGGGGTCCCACTGCGTGAGTGGCCCTCGTCAAATGAGTTGGGTGCAAGCGATATTCGACGGAATTGAACTGGCATGCGTGTGCTGGTGTGTTCCGGTTCCGGCCAGATGGAATCAAAGTGCCAACTGAGGCTGGTTCAATTGGCCACACATCCATTCTTTGAGCGAATCACTTTGGCGGCACCCTGGCAGTGGATTAAGGGCACCCGGGCAGGTGTTCACATTCTCTCCTGGTGGTCCTTGCTGTTCGACACTGGCAGAAGAATATCAGGGACCATCCTGAATTAAGGTTTGCTCATTGGTGGGCAATGATGCCGGACAAACTGAAGTAAAGGAAATTCCTGAACTCAAATCACCCAAAGACCATTCCTTTGATAGTCGACTGGACTCCCAGGGTATATGGTTGTGAATCCATTTTCCTCAAGTTTGACACACCAATGTTCACATCGGCAACATCATGTGCCCGCACGGCACCCGCCGATCAACAGGTCACCACCTGCCGATCAACAAGAGGAGACCTGTGTACCCGATCGGACCCATTCAGAATGGGTGGGGACATACCGTGGGTGCGGTGGGGAAGAAGCTCCACGGCTCCACGGCGTTCCGGCTGTCCAGGCTTAAAAGACCAGTTGAAGAAAAAAGCGGGCAACAAGCTGTGGAGAAGTTTCGGGAAGTGCCGAGAAATCAAAAAAAGAACACGACATGACATGTCGTGTTTTCCGCATTTTCCGTCCAATTCAGGTGATCCTTTTCAATGCTGCTTGGATCGGCATCGATATCGAGCTGAACAAAGCCGAAACTCAGCTGAGTAGAGAAGCTGTGAGGAAAACCCCTCAGCTGAGGGCTCGCTGTAGGCTTTGGAAGTTGGAGCTGGATCGATGTCCCAAAGACTCCAAAGACACAAATCAGGTATCAGATGGTATCAGACTGTGGTATTTGGTATCGAACGGAGCTCGTAATTTCTAGCAGGATATATATATATATATACGTATATATATACATATTGTTTGCATGTTTATTGGTCTTAGGATGTGTTTTAGGATAATTTATATTTGTGATATAATTTGGCGTATGGTTCCCAAACTTTGGCACCCAAATATGACATGTACGCTCGGAGTCCAACGTCAGTGATTTGGGCTGTTGACCAGATCTTCTTCCTTGAGAGTCTACGACGGGTCCAGACCACACGATTCGAGTCCAGACTCTCGAAGTCACGACCTGGTTTTGTTCAGTATGATTCGTATTTTCCCCAGGGGTACCCTGGGTACACCCCCTTCTGGTCAAGTATGTATTACTTTAAAACATATATTATATATATATATATCACTATATACTATATATTATATATATATATATATTCGTCCCGGTTCGTCAAGGAAATTCAAGATGAAGTCTTTGTTCACAAGGGGTACTCAATGAAGATCCACAAGTAGGATGGTCCAGGAGTGACTTTTGAACGGTGCTTGTAGCTTGCTTTCCTCGTGGAACGTTTGAGGACCATTGCCGAAGGTCTCGCTGGACCATTTGCCGTTTCGTATAGATATTGAATCCAACAATCCAGTGTTCCACCAGTGGGCTCTCATGTTTCCTTGACCGCTGCGTGCCCTGAGAGGCTACGACACAGAGCATGTATGTTTTTTTTCCTGTTGCAGATTCATCCCTTTCCACCATGCGAATGTTGGTTATATTGAAGTGACGATGCTGTGTCCTTTTTCCATCTTTTTCCCCCAAACACCCGCCGTGCCCCATGCCCCGTTCGGAGTGCCACATCTGCGCGCAGGCAGAGCTCGTTCGTTCGGTTGTCGGTGTCGGCTCGGTGTCGGCGGGGATCAGCTGATCAGTTTCCACCCACCACAGCTGACCTGATCAGCTGACACCTGATCAGTGGAACAGACTGAAACATTGAGATCAGGGCTACATTTTCTCGGACGTCCGTCCGTTGGATATGGATCATGGATCGTAAAGAAAAGGTCCGGACGGACCGGAGTGGTGGGTTCATTTCGGCGGGACTTTTGCTTTGCTTTGCTTTGCACCCGAACAGATCAGAGAGAGATGTTTGAATTGAACGCTTTGGCTTGACTTGACTTTTGCTGAACCCATTGATGCAAGATGATGCAAGAAAGGGATTTCTAGTCAAATACCAGCCATGTTCCACCCAAAGCCAACTGTTGCCTCAGAAGTTTGTCTTAACCAAAGCGGCCTCAGATTCTTGTGAGGATATGCTTTTCAATGCCGATCCTGTCTTCATCATTATGGAGAACCTCTTTTGCGTGTTCTTTTTGGCGGAGCTCGTCATCAGGCAGAAGACCTTTTGTGTGCATCAGGTAACGTTGTTGAAGCTGTGTGTTTTTGGGGGGGGGCCTCATGGAGTGTGATTTGGGGCCCTTGTAGGGCCGGCAAGCCGGGGCCGGCAAGCCGGGGCCGGCTAGAGGACGCCAAGTCACTTGCTCGTTATGTACAAGCAGTATGCAATTAATATAAAGGGATCATTCTCCGCATGGATCCGCGATGGATCGACTGCTTCAAGGATGTTTTTTGGTGGTGCAGAACAGCTGTCGGGGTTGCAAGATGGTTGCACTCATCCAGTTTCTCTGAATGGTTCAAGGCAAGGACGCAGTATGGCGATGAATCAGTAAGCTGAGAGGAGCGGTTTTTCCCCATGACTAAGTCTGACTCATGGAGTCACCCATGGTGGCTCACGCTTGGAGGTTTGGCATGTTCAAGAAGACAGTGTACATCTTCAAGGACATTTGGTTCATGGCTGATCTGATTTTGGTTTCTTTGATGCCTCTTGGCCAGCAAGTGGTGCCCAGCAAGACCTTGTCCGAGCCATGCCTCGCAAGAGAGTGCCCTTTTGGGGGGGCCTTTTGGGGCCGTTCGATTGCAAGGTGCGCAGAAGGTGTCCAACAACGAAGATGTCGATCTTTGATCTCATGGCCGTGTTGGGCACCAACATGTGACTCACACATCTGGCGGTGTGGCCAATCCCACGGATCACCTTGACAAGACCGAGTCGCCGTCCTCCTCGCCCGACTGCTCAGGGTGCTGGAGACCTGGTTGGTTCCCGTCATCGACGCCATCACCGGTGAGGGCGGCGGCATCTCCAGTGGTGCCTCCGTCCTGCGAGTGGCGCGTGTCATGCGCGTGCTGCGCACCGCGCGGATGGCGCGACTGGTGCGGCTCATGCCCGAGCTGATGATCCTCATCAAAGGACCCATGGCGCGACCCAGAGCGATCGGGTGTAGAGGAGAATGCATGGTGTACGGTTTTCCATCATCCTGGTGGTACATGGGGGTACCACTCATTGAGCTAGCAGCTGGTCACATGGGCTCTATATGACTTTATGCTTTTGTTCACGGCCTCCTGGATGCTTCTCCCTTTTTCAGGCTGTTATGGCCAGCCGTATGGCGATCATGCTTTGCCAGGAATGATGGTTGCCTTTCGATCTGTGTGGCTTGGAACTGAAATGCTTCTCACGGAACGGTGCGCTTCACACGTTCCTCCATGCAGGGTCACGCACAAGTAATGCACCCCCAGCAAACCAATTGAACAATTGCCACGCGTGAGAGTATGTATTTGTACTATTTTTAATTATAATATATAATATATATATATCTGGACTGATGACATTCCGGAGGCCATGCTTTCAACGCTTTCACGTTCTAAGCTGACAACGTGCCTTCAGCTGAAAGACATGAGTGCCCATGGCAAAACACGTCCCTGTTGCGTGAGGAGGCGTCGAGAATAGCCTTTAGAGCGTGACAGAATGACAGGAATAGGGCCTTAGGGGAGAATGATGAACTGCAGTGGTTCTTGATGTTCTTGCATCGATCCTCACGCGTGAAAAAGACTTTGCACGCAATTTAACATAATATACAACCAAGTTTGCACTGTCGTTGGTATGACCCCCCCTCCGCCCACCTTCAACGTCATGATTTAATGTGTCTTCTTTGTCTTCTGTTCGGCCACATCTAATCACTGACTCTATGTCATGACTTTTGCATCCATCACTGATTGATCCAAATCAGTTTAACTTGCTCAATTAGTCTGGCTTTCTCAGGTTCTTCACCTTGCTGTTGCTCCTGCTCTTCACCTATGTCTTCTCTGTGGCCTTTGTGCAGTTCAGCCGCGACACCAACCTGGAAGACCCTCTCTTCTTTGGCTCCATGGGCCGCCTGGCGAGAGGTCCCCTATGTATATATATATATATTAACAGAGAGAGAGAGTATCACTTCTGGAGAGAGAGAGAGAGAGTCACTTCTGGACAGGTTGTTTTTCACTCGTTATTTTTTTCCTGGAGGGCATTGGACATGGGAGAAGAACTCGAAAATTGGATGAAGAAGATGACCCCCCACCGGCCCCCCCTAAGCTTCCCTTATTGGCCACCTACCGCACCCGTATGCCAATCATTGCCACCCCTGTGCCACACACGCAACCCAAACGAGGTCATGCAGTGACGACCTTGATCCTTCGCTGCATCCTGACGGATCAGGAATCCCTGATTCGCCAGGTCGCCGAGGACGGCGACCGCCATCCAAACGGTGTCGGTGAGCACTGGCACTCATGTATAGTGGCAATCGTCACGCCACGAAAAGAGTTCGTGAGTTCGATTGAGTTCGTGTGTTCATCACTTAGTCTGCTTTTTTCATGAGACTGAGATGTTGTGTAATGTAATAGGCTCCTTGATGACTAATCCCCCCCAATTCAATTGGAACTCCTCTTCATATAAGGGGGATTAATGGTCCTCAAGAGTCTACATGAATGATGTCCAATGCCTTTTTCAATCTTTTCATGCCTCGATCTCCGCGGGCTGCTGGGAGTGGGACGACTGGCCCCCGCACCCCCTGCAGGAGAGTTGGATGATGTGCCGCCTGGCGGAGACTTCCAAGTCCAGCCAAAGGCTTCACATGCTTCACCTTCTTTTAGAGGAGTTCTGCAGAGCAGGACCCAGTTCCCTACTGAACATGCCACGCACTATTCAAGAGATGGCTGCCCACCAGTCACGGGCCCCAGAATCCAGGGCATGGCCGCGGGATAGGGGACCATCCAAGAAGACTGGCTAGATCTGGCTAGATACCCCCAAAGCCCAATGCAACTTTGGCCCTGCATGTGTTAAAACTCATAGAACATCTTGTTGGCTGGTGTTAGGTCTTGTTGGACGTCTCGTTCTTCCAATGCAATTTGGGAAGATGTTAGAACATGATAGAACATCTCACCACATGTTCTGATTTGGATTTGTTGGGGCCGCAGCCAGAATCAGCAGACATCTTTGGGTGCGTCGCCCTCAAGCCCACGGCACCATAAAGCCGGGGCACCCATCACCCATCCAATCTCCCTCTCGCCACTCTCGCCCAATCCCCCCAAATCCATCCGATCTGGGCGCGTCTCGTGGGCGCGTGTGGCCTCTGTCTTTGAGTCAAGGCATTTTGCTCTTGACCTTCATTTTGTTTGGCTCCCTGACGGTGATGAACATGCTTTTAGGGGTGCTGGTCGAGGCCGACCAAACGCACGGTTGGACCAAACGCAGCTCCCGAGTCGGGTCGGGCGGAAGTTGGAAGAGATGTCCAACCAGCGAGTGGAACCGGAGGGACATGTCATGTGAGGAGAAGACAGGCGAAGAGGTGGGAAGACATTCATTTTTAGTTGGGGCGATCTATGATCAGGAGCAGTCACTTCGTGCACATGACCAGTAATCTATCCATTCAGGGTTCTTGATCAGTTCCTGATCAACAAGTGTAACATGTTTGGGTCCAGTTCAAAAACCAGCATGCTATATACGTATGCCATGTAGTTGGAAAAAGAACACCGTGCATCTCAGATGGGTACGTCGTGAGGGACGTCTTTCACTCGGTCAATGTACGTTTTTCCGACCGTTGGACACAGCGATGTTCGACCTCAAGACGGAGCGTAGAGGCCATCAAGACAGTGTCGACCATCGAGCGCGAGCAATTGGAAGTGGACTTTGCCAAGCGAGTGCTGTGGGACCTCATCGACAAAGGCGCTGTGCTAAACGCACACCGTTGGAACCCCTGGGAGTCAGTGGTTTCAGAGGTTCGATGGCACAGACGTTGCTCCGAGACATGTATCGGGTTATGCCTTATCGTAGGTCCACATGTTTGGGGAACTCTCCACCGTCACTGGATCTTCAAGGTGTTTTTTTGGTTTTTTGGTTCGCGCCGCTGGGAAATGTTGGTTCGGTCAGCTCACCTGGCAGATTTTGTTGGTCAGTTGTGAAGTTCTCAAACCGGCCGACTGTTGCGAGACCGTCGCAAAGATATGCCAACCAAAAGAAGTATAAGAAGTCAAATAAAGAATCCAAGAATTGGCAAAGATCTATTTCCAGGGCAAAGGGGTGGACGTCTTGTTCTCCAAGGGGTGGCTGGTCTCAAGTCTCAACCCCGCCACCGGGTCGTCTCTTGACGATTGAGAAAACAACCTCATCCCAACGCTGTCACCCGCAGACGGCCTCGCGAAGACGCTGCAGGGGAGGCTGACACCGATGGTGACAATTGCATTTCAGAGGATGAACCTTGGACCCGCTTCCGTTGGGACTCAATTCGTCGCGAGTGTTATTCAGCCGAAAGAAGGGCGGCGATCGGCGCACCCAGGTGATTTCAACGATTTTTGCGTGGCTTCCGCACATCATGAAGGGTTCTATGATGATGGTGCCTGTTGCAAGTCAGAGCATGTTCACTCAGAGCTTCAAAAAATATGTTCCTAGAATTCATGAATTCATGCAGGATCCCTCATGCGGATTTCTCAGCTTCATGGAACTGCGGAGAAAGATCAGCTCAAGCATGGTACCCAAGCTAAGTGCTAATAATTGTTAACATAATTGTTAATGAATTAATAGTGTTTAACTATAATTACATCCTGTGCCTTTCAACCCCCCCGGCGCGGTGGACAGAAACAGCTCCGGGATGTTCCGCAAGAGATCGTCCTTGAAGGAACTGTTTCACAAGTTGACCCGTTAAGCGTTGCACGCGATTCCTCACCCTCCATGCCCAGGAGTACATGGCTGTGCTGCAAAAACCTGAGGCTCGCCCATCGCCGCAGGGATGATGGAGGATGACATGTTATGACACATGCTCGAACATTGAGCACATAATATATTGGCAACTACTACTAGCAAGACTGCCGATCAATTGCACGAGTGCGAGTTCTGGGAATTTTGGATCATGTCAGGTCATCCGAGTTGTCAAAAAATGCCTCTCCTATGCCGGAGTCCAAAAATCTGGCCGATTCCGAACTGGAATCCTCCACAACGCAGCCTTCAAACCCTTCAAATGACCATTGAACAGAATGGGTTGACCTGGATTTGGTAGTCTAAAGATGTCTAAAATCAAACACAAATACATGCATGTAAGAGAAGTAATGCTTGTTTGGTCAAAGGCCAATGGTCCGTTGGATGTTCTTGGACAAACCGGCAGCCGTACGTCTCGCCGCATCCGCACGTCTCGGGTCGCTTTCGAGGCCATGACGGCGCTCACGAGTTTGGGTGTTGATGTGGATGCCGCCCTGGATTATGGCCACTTTGAAGTCATTTGGGGAGGAAGCGGCGGTTGGGGAGGGAAAACACGAGAGGTGTTGGAAACAAAACAGGTGTCAGGATCTTTTTCCGGACAAGTCTTCAAGAAGGGTAGCCGGTTGGTTCCAGATGACCACATATTATGACCACTTGTTGTTTTTCTCGTTAACTTGACCACATGTTGCCGTGCATGACAAGCAACAATAACATCATCCTTCTTGTTTTTTGTTCGCCATTGCAATTGGCAGAGGGCGCCAACCATCCGCAAACTACACGTGTTTTTTTTCCCTCACCTCAGCTGTTTGCTGTTCCTCATCTCCAGGCAAGCTGCTCTTCGAGGATGGCGAGCCATTGACCTTTGGAGACTTTATGAAAGGCATCTTAACCTTGAGAGGCTCAAATCAGACCACGGTCAAGGACCAGGGCGCACCGAGCCGGCTTGGGTTGCGGAGGGACTTCCGAGGGTTGGGCGACCCATATGCGGGCGGCTTGCGTGAAATGCAGCCTGAAGTGAAGCGGTTGGGTATGTGACACGTTGACTCCGAAGGCGGACTGAAGCCGGCGGACTGAGGCTGATCTGGCCCAATAATTGCAGGCTCTTTTGATGAATAACCACCCCCGTGCAAAGTTGTTCAATTCAATTGGGGGGGTTATTATATAACTTAGAACCCCAGCAGCGCCGCGAAAGTCATGCAGGACATTGTGGACCTTCGAAAGTTCACCGCCGACGAGTTCTCACACCTCCACGAAATTCTGGAGGTCGGTCCCAGTGGGCACTTGTTACTACTAGCTTCTTGTTACTACTAGTAAGGCACCTGTTACTACTAGCGTGGCACTTGTTACTACTAGCTTCTTGTTACTACTAGTAAGGCACCTGTTACTAC